CTAGTTATTAAACATTATCATCCACCTCTCTCAATTAGCGTAGAAAAAAACTTTGGACTTTCTACGGGCGAAGATATTCATAAATAAGATATTGCAATTAAGAACCATTTTATTATCATTTTTCTAGCAAACTATAGAACTGCGGAAACTGCCAAACTTCTTAAATTTAAATTTATTCATAGTTTGAATTTGATATAATGTATAATAAGATGTGTTTGGTACCGTCTTATGTGTCTTTTGTTTTTGAGAAATATCAAAAACATGGCGTCACAATATAAAATAACTTTTTGCTTTTAAAATAACTGTCACGTCTCTGTGAAAAACTCCCTTTGCAACTACATTTCTACATTTGCGCATTGCCCATCCTGATTGAGCGTTTTCACTAATGGACCTGACCACACATTACAACTGCGACTCTTTAACAATTCCTCAAATACGTTGTCACTTCTCAACGATGAAAGTTGATGAAACCACGACGACTAGAGGTGGAACGGCACTTGATCAGATATATTAGTTTATTTACGACCAATAAAATACTGCTAAAGAACCCTTTATCGCCAACTAGCAATAACATCTTTTAATCTACTACTCTTCTGAGTAATTTGAGCATTGGCGGATGTACGCATGACGGCAGCGCAGCTAAGTATAATTCATGATAAAAACATATTTTTTATTTTTCATATTATGAAATTAGTGGTATTACAACGGAATACACTTTCTGGTATTATTTCTAAGTGCTGCACCATGTTATACTACTACATAAACACCCAAAAATGTTTTCAGACAGCAAAAATAATTTTCCGCTTCAAGTCTCCAGATAAGGTGCTCTAAGTTAACTCGTTGACAACCATATCGCTACGCTAACTCGGGTTGATGCTTAAAAATGAAATTATCGAAACCAAATATTTCATACTTGCAATTTTTGTAATTTTCGAAAATATGGTGAGTTGGCCGAATATAGGACTAGCATCACATTTTTTTACCGTCCATTGTTACATACGAGGAGACAAATTAATGAACGAAATTGGTGCGCTTTTTGAGAAAATTCATTTTTAAATATTGCATAAATTTCAGAAACGAAGTATTCGAATTACTAGATTTTCAAAAAAATGTATTTGACCTTCTTTAAAGAGTTGATGATTAGCTGATTTAAACATACTTTATCTAAGATAAAATTCTACCTTCAATTTTCTAGTTTTGCAATGTTAACTTTTTGCAATTTCTAGAACACTGAAAAATTTGCAGAAAATGAAACTAGCATTACATTTCTTTTACGTCTTTTGATATGTACGAGAAAACATTTTTTTGCGGGGAAATGTTGCGCTTTGAGAGAAAAATGTTTACAAATTGTCTGAATTTCGCAAGTATAAAAATACTTATTCGATAAATTTTACATGACCTTATTTGAAGATGTTTTAAGGAATAAATTTCATTAAAGAAAAAATCTATCTTCAATGTTATAGAAGGAGGCAGAGGCCGAAAGAAATTGCACTTTTGCAATTTGGAAATTTGGCAAATTACATTTTTGCAGATTTCGAAAAATCAAACATTTCAACGAACATGATTATTGATTGTTAGTGATCCCGGGCGTGTGAACTACTATAGCCATTAGTCCCGTCAATGTATTGCCTGTTTTTGCTCGTGAGGTTGCAGTGGTTTTTCCCAGCTCTATGCCGAGATCTAGAGCCGACGTACTTTCGGCTAGCAGGGTTTTCTCAACGAGGTATCTCCCACCTGTGAGACACTGTCTCAGCCAGAAAAACCTTCAAGTTCACGACCGGTTTCCCAGCACGTGTGGTAGTGTAGTACATGTTAGTGTGAGAGTATAGGATAAGGAAGAGGTAGGAACGATCGTGCGCAGTGCGTGGCCCGTGTTTTTAGGGTTCCGCTACAGCATTCGCCTAGTGTTGATCGGAAAAGGAAGTGGAAACACGGAAAAGTAACGATCGTTGCAGCCGGTCGCTAGAATTCTTCTCCAGACAATGACTGAGACATTCAACCTAGTTGACGAGCTAGTGTCGAAACGCCGATTACCATATGGTTGCTTTGGCTTCCGCGGCCGGTGTTTGTGTCATCTGGGCTCTCCGGGACGAGCCGCGTCTCTGACAGGGAGGCTAACGTTTCGGCCAGCGTATTGAGGCCTTCCTCAGAGTAGGCTCTGCAGAACGCTCTAAAGCTCTCAGCAACAATACGCTCTGAAGAAGGCCAAAATACGCTGCCCAAAACGTTAGCCTCCATGTCAGTGATGCTTCTCCAGGAGCCCAGATAACACAAACTCCTACCACCGTCGAGACTCGAACCTACGAGGGGGTCAGAGGGACTGCAGTGACTTCAGTTGATGCTCGGAGCCATCTCCCTCGGTCAACATAGAACATACGATCTGCACCATTAACTGAAGTGTCCTTTACGCTATCCCAGAAAAAGATTCAATCAAAAAATGGTGCCATTTTGAGAAAATTTAGAAAATAATTTGGGAGCTTCATATAAGGTACACTCCAAAATGAAAATATGTTTGAAACTCCTCTGTTTGAAAAGCCTCGGGTTTGTTCAGGTCGATCGGGGAGTATCAATTTCGGAGAAAATCGGCTGAAAGGGTTAGACGCTAGCATTCACCACAGACGAAAAGATGGACACATTTTGCAGTCAATCAATTTTTGGGTATTAAACACCCTCAAATCATGGATTCTGGCTACACTACGTGTTAGAGAAAGTAATTTAATAATTTAATGAGCAACAGGTTTTATCTACTTTTTCGTTACTAGGACCCGGCAATAAGATTTTTTCTGCCGAAAATGAGCTGTTTACATATTACATAACTTTTTCTTGTTACGAACTAAGTGCGAGAAGGTAAAACTGGAATAAAATTAAATCAAATATTACGTATGACGATAAATATTATTTTTATATTCCTATCATCGATAGTGATGTAATGTCTTTCTTGGGTAAATAAAACATCACTTCATCTTGCATACTCGTCTTCCTCTCTATAGACAAGATACACTGAGAATAGATGATAACGTGTTTTGTTTATAGAAAACAGACACAAAATCAGTACAACAGACACAAAGTACATTTAGTACTGACTAGGAATTACTGATAGGGAATTACTTCCCAGACCTCTATCAGATAGGTTCAAAAGAAAATGGAACATTTTAGGAGAGTGTTAACTTCAAACATTTCAGTTATAAAGCGTTATTTCAGTGACTTGAACAAAAAATTCAAATGAGCTATAAAATTTATATAACAATATATTGAAATTTTGGAACACGTTACTTTAATTTGTAGTTGATAAGCAAAATCGCAACATTTAATTAGTCTGCAATGTTTTATGTATCAAATACACAATTTTTGAGAAATTGCATTTGAATGTAATCAATTAGTTTTTAGAAAAACTGTGTTAAATATTTTTACATTCAGAAACTCACTACAAGAAATGTCAATTAATTCCTAGCTTCTTAGTTAGAATTATCCCAATATTATCTACATCTGTTAGCTATCTTCTTAGTATTTTTCCAATCGTAACATCTATGGTCAATTTTTATAATTTAGCTGCTTTCATTTACAATAATTGTATCAAATGTAGAGTACCTCTTATGTGAAACCATGTCCAACGCCTATTTATTTCGGAACTTTAATTCTGATTGTTCATCCATCGTTAAAGAATATTAATGCATCATGTTCACCAATCTTTAAAGCATTTTGTTAGACAAATATAGGTTTTTGGCGCACGCATGCACACGCGTAATGCACACACACACACACACACACACACACACACACACATCTCTCTCTCTCTCACCATCTTTCACTCAATGGCATTGATAAAAAACTCTCATTTTGATTTCGAGTCTTACCATTGATACCTTTTTAAAAAGTTCCTCGAATATTTCTCTAAATTGGTTTGATGATATTCATTACTTCTTATGGAAGTGTATTTTTATATTTGTTTGCTGAATTCCAATAGCAAATAATTTCTGGCAGCGACACTCAGAATTTTCTCTCTCGGGGTCTCGGGGCACAGGCCATGTACCAAATTTTCTGCACTTGGGAATTCATGCAAGAATGTTGTTATTACTTCTTTTTTCATAACTTTAACACCTCTGCTAATATTAACCAGGATTTCCATTTTGTAATAATTTTTGTAGAAAGCCTAGATGAGTCTCAGTTAATCTGACATTCCATTTAGTGCCACAGCCACATTTGTTACCATTTCATGTCAGATACTAATCTTTTGAATCCAGCCTCCACTCACTTGGTACAGGACAATAGGATTCTATTGTTTCAATTTTTACATTATCATATATCTTTTTCTTGCTTTATTAAATCCTTTTGAATCGCTATAACCCGTGTTTGTCATATCATACTCTTTTGATTCCTCAAATACATTTTCATTTCCTCACTTTAAATAGCACCACTATATCCCTTTTAGTTTTAGGAGCAATTGTGTATTGTGTGTTAATTTTGAAAACATTTGTAGCATATTTCCAGAGGCACTCTAATGCAATTACTTTCCCAGCATTCAAAAGCATGGCTGTAACAACACCATTTGGTAAAAAATATTGGCAAACTTTTGTTAAGAATCATCAAACTCTGCAGCAATACAACTGTTTGTGACAGAAATATCAACAGTTCTTGCTTGCAGCACATTATGCTGATTTTTGCAATTTTTGTAGTCCTTCTAAACTAATGTTACAATAAAATAAAAATAGTGGTGAAGGAAGATTCAGACTTGCACAAATTTCTGGGTTGCAATCCTTTCCTTGTCAATGCACCTTATGTAATTATTTACCCTAATATTAACTTCATGCTATTTAGTTTCTTTAGAGATATTCCTCTCTTGATAAAACAGGACATTTTGGAAGCTAAGCCTCCTCTAGAGTTTGCCTCTCCAAACAATTAAACGCTATTAGATGAAAAAACGTACACTTAACGAAAGATTTTAAAAACCTATGCATTACACTAATACTACCTATTATAAAACCACTTGCAACTGTACTTACCAAACAGTATCACTTTCTTCTGCTAAGTGAGCTAGCATTTTCATGATCTCGATGATGTTGGTATTTCTCCAAGAGTTAAAACTGATTCCGTAGAAATATACGCTTTACTTCCCTCCACTGAACTGGCTGCAACAACTCTGTCGGTAACAAAACGCAAAATCAACCACACTACTCACCTCGCACCAGCCACCGGATTCGAACCAAAACAATACAGAGTCCGTAGAAGAAGACAAAGGAGCATCACAGTTTTACAGAGTAGCCAACATAATCAAAGAAAATTTCTTCAGCAAAAAATCCTAAAAACGTAATAATACATAATGTTAATAGAGAAAAGGGGCGTAAGATTTGAAGGGTCGGCTACAGGCGTATTTAAAATACTATTTAAACGATTGCATTTGAAGTGCTTGTACATTGGAAAGAGTACATTTTCTTGAAGAGGAAAGCTTGTAGAGATTTTGAAGTGAATCTTCACTAACCGCGGCAAGGGCAAATCGGCCTAAACGAAAAGAATAGAGAAACGCGTAGTTCTCGTTGTGACCGCATTTGGCGATGGCAGCGCAGCTGCATGCGGAGCGCACTGGTGGCATTTGGCGGAACTTCCTCGACCGAGAGCATCACGATATTTTATGCGACCACGGTAGTAGCACGCTTCGTGGTATTATTCGCGCGTTTCTTGAGCCCCGGAATACCTACCCCCACTCCTTTTCCCATATTAGTTGAATGAAGAAAAATGTGTTGAGTTGGATGAATTTGATAATATATAAAATATTGAATTTCTCGCTTTATTTCTTGAAAACTTTTATTCTTTTGTACCATGAACTGATAATAAAAAAATGGCGCTATGGTAGATGTTTATAAGCTTTGCCATTGTCTCTTTCATACGAGCCAGTGCTAATTGTAATTTGTGTACAACCTAAGGATATGGCCACCTGCAGATATGCGATTTTGCTTTGTAGTTCAAAAGGGGATTATCTAATACACGATCCACAATTTTTTTATTTTACTCGTTTTATTCTATGTACGTTCTACTTGGTTTCACGAGGTGAACAATTTACCACATAAATTTTATCAAACTTTGTAGATCTAGTTGTACGATCCACTACATTTCGAAGACAAATCACTCACAGGACCCCTCACAATATTTACAGTGTAAGGGAGGTCAGGTTGAAACTCTCCAGTAAATGCGCGTTGTCCATTGTTATCAATGGCCCATAACTCTTCTGGAGAGCCTTGAGAAATTGCTTTCATACCCGTTACGAAGTGAAGAAGAGTGCTGTCATGTTCCACTACGTGCTGATTGTGTCTAAAACATAAATGGTTAAATACCCTTTACAAACTTATCTTCAAGTTGGCAGGCAATTATTCATATATTTTGTAATCAGTGAAATAAAATTATATGTGAAGAGATTGAACGACATCAGCCAAAGGAAGCCTATGTTATTCGCAAAAATTAATATTTCTAATTCGGTCGAATATGGCTGATCTTGTTATTCGAAGCCCTTTATATAATGGTGATTTATTTGATATTCCACAAGTCCACTGTGTTACTTACGATATTAACAATACATTTACCGTTAACAGTTTTGCCCACAGATGCCTTGAACTACTTTGTGTAATTTTGCAATTTTGCCGCAGAATGTAGGACAGCGGAACTTCATGCATATTTCCAAGGTTCGAAGCTCAATTGTAGACTCGGAAAGTACTTAGCGTTATTTATATACAACCAGTGTACTGCAATTCTGACTGCAAATCTCGTAGTATTTTATTGCAGAAAATCCACCTCACGGGTTACAGCATGAGTGAGATCGTAGCTACGGGTGAAAATATTGTCTACAAAGGAATTATCACGGAGCGCTAGTTGCAACGACACTGCGCGGAACTTGGCATAGCAATTTTTTGCATCGGCAGGGAGAACGCAACTAAACAAAACGGTTTTGCTATGTGTTTCAATATCACTCGTCGGCGTGGTAGTAACAACTGTACATTTCCCAAAAATAGTTATGTAACTTAGGGCAAATGCACGTGTATAAACTCGTTTCGTCATGCTCGTTATCATCAGATAAAGAAGTCTTTAAAGGGGCCATTTAAAAAGTCAAATTCGTGTCGATGTCTCCACTGACTTTGTATATTCAGTTGACGAATCCCAACAGTAAATGGATTCTGTTCCCATTTGGGGAAAAAACAGCACAGAGTTGATTGCCAACGCCTCTGCTGCACTCTGAAATTAATATTGTCTTAATTAATCACAAATTCTTAATAAATGCAAACCAAATGCGCAACAATATTAAAGAATACATAGGCGTCTCAAAATAAATGTTACAAACTCCCGGGGTTTGTAGAGAGGTTGAAAAGTAGTTGAAGTTCTTACTAATGTAGAGAAGTTAAGTCAAAATCTCTCATTTATTCTGAAAGATTCTTTTTAAAGTGAATTACCTAAGTTTTATGGCTTTCACTATATCTAAATTCAATTGAGGTGCTCAGGATAGTAACGGCGGATTCCAACCCACCTGTCATTTTCAGTTAGGTGTATGACGATAGAATTCTGCCCTAAATCTCTCAAATGCGGAAATGTCAAATGAAAAGGGATATATTAATACCGTCCAATTCCACCTACAAACATTTGTCCGGAGTGAAAGCGATCGTGAAACAAAACAGAAAAATCGTTTTTCTGAAAACAAACTTCGGTTGAGATATGCGGTTTTTGGTTGGTTATTATTCTGAACGACTCAAGTTATATGGCATTTCGCTGCAACTACATTCCCATAAATGGAGTCATTCATCAAAAATGAATTATTTTCGACCCCTCTAGATCCTCTAGACCAGAGTTCACTGGCGGCCTGCGGGTCTCATGAGGCCCACGGTGCCATTTTTTGTGAACTGCAAAAGGTTTTCAACAAAAGTGAAAGTTCTTTTCATTCACGTCGTGTGAGAATATTGTACCCTAACGAACGAGCCCTGCCGTGATTAACACCCCCTTTATTATACAAAATAGGGTAAGTTTAGTTTTAAGGATTTCCCCCCTAGCATATTCAAGAACTCAAAATCATCCCAATGTGTTTCAATGTGTGCATCCATGGTACGGCCAGATACGGTCCATCCACCCCTCTCCCCAATTTCTGAGCAGCCGGGCAAAGTGTCGAAATCATCAATATGGGTCGGTCAGCTGTGGATTGCCCGAATAATGAAAATATGACCCGCAACCACACTAAAGATTTTGGTTGTGGCTCTTGAAGCCTTGCAAGTTGGACACTCGTTTTCTACACTTTGTAACATTTATTTTGAGAGATTCTGACTAAAGCATATTACCTGAGATTTGTGGGTTCCAATGTATCTGAACTTATCAGCGGCAAGGTTGGTTCCGTTGGCGAACAGCGCCTCGTCCCGAAGCACTACCTTGGGCACTCGGCCCGCCCGGAAGCTAGACAACGCTTGGTAGTACAAGTGGTCGTCCCCGTCGTTCAGGGCCAAGCCCATCACGCCGTCTTGCAGCGTCATAGTTGAACCATTGACGACGAAGCTCTCTGCGTTCGGATCTGGGCGAAAGGTGTCGCTTTCTACCCGCCACGACCTAAGAACGTCGACAAAGATAACATTAGATATGGCAGAAGCCAAGTAAAGAATAAACAGAAGATGAAAATCTATAGTTAACAAATAATTACAATGCCTAATAGACACATAGAAAAAACTGTCTGGAGTTAATATTTTAGTAACAAAACTAGAATTTCATGACGCTTGGATACGTAATAGTTACAAAATAGAACGAGAAGTATGTTAGAATAGTAATTTACGAAACCAGTGCGGTAATCACTGTAGTATTTATTAAAACGTGTTTTGAGAAAGATATTTCGCGCACGCTTCCTAAATTTTCGAACTCGGATAAAAAAATTGCTGTTTTGCACACTGGAAACAAGCACGAGAAACCGTTTCTCGTGCATGGCGAGTTATAAAAACTTTAAGAAAAATTATAAAACAATTTCTGCATTCAAGAGACATTACCGGGTGTACTGTATGAAACATACGAATTCCGAAACGCATGTTCGTACAAAAGTTCCAGGTCTAATATATTCAGCATGAAAACCCTTTCTTTATAGATACTATACATACTAACGCAAACAGGGGTTGACTTCACTCGCTGTTTGGTGCAGAATTATAGAGGCCCGCTGCTCTGGCCGGTAGTTTATTGTGGTTTCTTCGATCAATACCAAGCAAATGTCCGATAAATACCGTAAAAAACCGGCCAAGGACTGTTAATGATCTTTTTTTCCTCCTTCTTGTCCTAACCTCACCCCTTTCCGACATTTCCCCTCTAACATGCGCTACACAACCACACATGCCTAGAGACCAGTCGTAAGCGTAGACCTTGTCCCGGTTGGGGCGGTGTCCCGTTAGTGGGAGTGGTTGAGGGAAACCCCGTTGGCCGACAGTAGGTCGGCGCCAGATCTCACCATCCATCGAGAGAACTACACTTACCGGACTAATAACCTTAGAACGTGACGCGTCTGCAATCACCAATCAATCGAAACGAGTCCAAACTCACCTTTGAGAGCGGAGACTGAAGACGTACATTGCGAAGGCGCCCCCGTCAGCAACGTATGCGAAGGCATCTTCGCTGCAAAAGTCCCCCATTTGCTCAGCAATCACATTCACTAGGGATGTGGTCGCGTTGTCCTCCGCTGGCACGTTGAAACGGTGGCGGGCGACGAGCTCGTCCGTGGTGAGATTGAAAACTAAAAGTTGTGGAGGGCACTGGGGACGAGGAGAGCTGCCGATGTCAACAATGCCGCCGTCGATCACCCACAGACGCCTGCACTTATCAATCTGAGAACACAAGACGTAGTAATTAGTAGGGGAAAGCCGTCTGTCCTATGTTACTTGCATGTAAAAGATCCTCACGCCTAAATAACGCCTCTGAGCTAAATTCAAATCGCCTATTTAGTCGCCCAAGGTATATCTTCTTTCTCTGTTAGTTGGTGAAAGGAGCGTAGCGAAATTTGCGTGGTCAGGCGGAAGAGCAGGTCTCATGGCCTGAGCCTCGCCACATAAAATAAGGCATCAATACAACTCAATTCAATTTTATTACTTGGGGTTAAACGACGATACCCGACTCAACTAGAAGCAACACATAGAGCCCAACACTCAGCAAGCCAAAACTAAACTAATTCTACTACGACCCTTAGTGAATCGGCACAGTCAACTCTCCAAATCCAATGCTCTATTACTCTACAAAACAATAATCCGGCCGACATTATGCTTGTCCCATATGGACCAATGACTCCAACCTAAACAAAATACAAGTTATCCAAAATAACGTTTTAAGATAAATTACAAAAGCACCATGGTGCATCAGTAACAATCAATGACACAATGATTTGAATATAAACACAATAAAAAACCAAATAGCCTACCTTGCACACAATTTTTACACTAACTTTCGCCTAATTCATTCTTATTTAAACTAGGCAAAACCCCCCATTTCAAACGAGAATTGACAACAGATATCCCCTCCATTCATTTTATAAAATGTTCGCAAATTTGGAATAATTCTGCTAAAATTAGTATTTATTAATGGAAAGATTAAAAGTTTAGAAAAATATAATTAGATTAGGAATTATAAAATAATGTATGTATTGAAGTAGATTTTTTAATTAAAAACGTACTCTCAGATGTATAATTTATTAAATTGTTCATTACAATTTTAGTCAACTCCTGTTATATTCAACCCCTAGGCACAAACGTTTTTCATTATATTCGATAATGCCATACTATAATACGTTTATCGATCACCCATTTACATATCCATTACATTAAATATTTTGCTTCTCGCCCAAACAATGATAAGAACTGACTAGCGCAGTGATTGACATCAAAGACACAATATTCAGTAAACACAAAGATCTGAGTAGTCGTTTCGGACGGTAACTCGATCGACCTAGACCAGCCACGAGAACGATTAATAAATGTTGAAGCGCACTCATTTTATGTGCGTCTGCGAGGAGATTAAAACGCATTCAATAGAAGGAGAAACAAGGCATACGGGATCAATTTCTACATAAAACCGATTCGATATAAAACCCCTCTAAAAGTATCGTTTTATGAGGTAAATATTCTGCCTACAGTACTATTTCTTGTGATAAATTATTCGTGGAGTTCTGAGAAGAAAATCTATGAAATGTGTAATGTGAAAATGGCAAGCACGTGCAGTACCTCACATTCAGACTACAATTTATCTTTCACAACCTGTTTATGTAATTCTTTATTTTATATCCTGAATTAAATACCAGAATTCCAACTACCTAATTAAATCGTAAAGAAATGGTATTTCTTTAAAACCCATATTGGAGCTGATTAATGACTTGAGTTCTGAGACACTTACGTTGGGTACGAAGCATCTCTGCGTATCGCTTTATTCCTGATCTGCATCTTCCTGTGCCATAAAAGCGGAATTACACCACACGAGGACGACATTGGAAGAAACGAAGCCAGAAAGACTTGAAATTCAAGGCGAGGTGCTGCTCACGGAGTGCAAGGATTCTTCGGAGAAGTATTCATTGCTCATACCATTCGCCCCTTGGATTCACATAAAGAAAGGCGCTACGTTCTTCCTAAATTTTGTGAAAGGCGGAGGTATTTACTAAGCGCCATTGCCTCCTACAAGAGCGGAGCCCTCAGGACAGGTAGCATCGCAATTTTCTTTCTCTGTAGTCCGATCGCTTCAAATTTCTTTCCGAATAATACGAGGGGGATAAAATCCCGCTCACTCAGTCAAAGTCGCGCCGCGCGTCGATTATATTTCAAGGTTCGTAGAGGGTAGAAGAGCAGTAAAGCAATTGCTCAGCTTTCGAAGACATTAAGTGTATTTCCAATGGAGAAACTTTGTTTGATAGATGGAGAGAATAACGGTGAATTAATTATTCATATAGTAAATTTTGGCTCGTGCCAAAATACTGTGAGATTCATAAGAGCAAAGATTATTAAATATTTCAACGTTAATAAAAACTTTCAAAGAACAGTGTGGTTTAATGCTTGCATGCATGCAATACTGAAGTTTATGAGGAGAAAATTTTGAATATTTCTAAAGTTATATTTTATGAAAAAGTTTAGATAACAATGTTAAATCTAGGAAATATCCTTAGGGGCAGTGTATATTTAAAATTGTGTATATAAGAATGTGTTTTTTGAAGGGTATTACATTCTTGATGTGTTCCATTGCATTTATTCTTTTGCCATTGCCATTGCCATTGCTTTCGTCATTTTTATCAGTTTCTGTTTGTTTCTGTTTAAAGTGTATTCAAGTGAGTACAATTATATTATAACTTTGAATATTTCAATCTTGTTAAAATATTTTGTTTTGTCTTTCTTACCTATCATCACCATATCCCTGAGATAAATGTTTTTAAATTTGTTACTTTATTGTTATGGTCAAGTTAAGATTTAGGGCCATCAGTCATTGTGAGGTCGTTACAACCTTACTTCTAGTAAACCACTGAGTGTTGTGTGAAATCGTAATATCATACAATGAATGCGGACCTTGCATGAGCTGGGTTGGTGCAAAAAGCTTGCACTCAGAAAAATGTGCGTGAGTGCACACACAACGCGGGGGTCGCAATACGATACTATATGATACTATAATATCCATAATAAACTCATCTCTTCCCAGTGATTGATATTGTTATAATGGAGATTCAAACAAAGTGTACAAACACGGTTAAAATTCAGTATCGTACATTGATCTATCCTTAAAAATATTATTTAATACTATTTCCTGTGTACAGTTTAATAATATTTTTTAATAATAATAATAATTTTTTAATATTTTATTATATAATGTGTATTAATATTTTTTGTCCATGTTCCAAAATCCGTGCTTTTTCAACACTTGATTATCCAGTGATCACATAAATACCATTTCATTTCAGTCGTAATATCTTTGAACGGTTCTTGCCACCGCCATATGCGGTAGTGTAAAGTACTCACGTAGATGCGGAAGACCGAAGTTATCCCGTCGCAGCCCCTCTGGCCCGCGTGCCAGCTCCAGTCGGGGTAGGGCGCCAGCTGCGGGGACTCGCGCTGGTCCTTGTCCCTGACGGTGGCGAGGGCCACGGGCCCGCCTGGGAGGACGGCCGGGAACGAGAGGAAGCAGCGGCCCGTGGCTCCTGCGCACGAAGATAAGGGAAATGTATGTTCTTTTGTTCTTTACGTCGGTGAACACACGTTAGCTCCTTAGTAACCAACCATTTACTATCTCTCTTGCTCCTTAATTCCATTTCGTCAATTTGCTTCATTTTGTCAATTTGTCTCATTCTTCAACTTGTCTCATTGTATCAACTTGTCTCATTGTATCAACTTGTCTCATTGTATCAACTTGTCTCAGTTTATCAACCTCTCCCATTTTGCGAATTTGTCCCATCTGTTAATTTGTCCTTAATTTGTATTTTTTTTTCCTTTTGTCTTACACTGTCCGATTTGCTGCCCTTACACAATTTATCTATGGTCCCCTTGTCCCGTTTTCCCCCTTATCCCATTTGTTCCTTTTGCCCCTTCAAGGTACACTTTGTTTCCTTTGTCTTCATTGACTCATTTGTACCTTTGGTCCCCATTTTCACATTTTGCCTCTCTTTTCCCACTTTTATTCCCCTTTACACGCGCCTTTATTTAAACTTATAGTATTAAGCCCCATTATCAACAACTCTTGCTACCTCAAAAATAATGACAATTCTTAACTATATGAAAGTCATAAATTATTATTTTGAATGAGAATACCAAAAAATCTTGTATGTAACATGTCTTCTATTTTTTCTTTAAGAATTCGGCGGGAAGGTTAGCTATCGCTCATCTGCGCAGTTAACTTCCCGGTCTCATCCTGAAACATTAATTTAGAGGACTTGTTACATAAATAACTAATTTACAATAAATTATCATAAGGTTTTTATTTTGCTTTTGCAAAGGTCTCGCAACCGTACGTTTCCCGAAGTCGTCAATAAAAAGAAAAAACAATTGCATGCAATGCTTTATTGCAGCAGATACACCAATGTTGCATTATTTTTCCACCTAATCAACACAAGAATTTAGACATTGGTCTACCATTCGATCAATATGTGTGTCCCTGTGTCGTAGAAATCAGCCAACTGCAATAGGTACGGGAGTTTGTCAGCCATCTGCAACTGCGGGACTACGTTTCACTAAAATGCTGACCGGACAGGAATTTTCATGGGATAAGGAAAGGCTCGGGATCTGTTCCGAATACAGGTGGTGCAGAGGATCTGTTTTAATCTACCCGTGTGTGACTGGCGTGATTGTGCAGGGAAACTTCTACACTGACCATCTAGCAACTACACCTCATGAAATTCCCAGCCGGTCAACATTACGTGTATCACATTGATCCAGAGTTGCGGGTGGTCGTCAGAGAGTGGTACGTATCCCAGGTGGCAGAAGTTTGCGAGTGTGGATGAGTGTGGTTTTAAACTCACAGCAAATGTGAATCCCACGCTATGACAAATGTCTCAATTCTGGTGGTAACACATCTTGGATACTTGTGGGGACACAAGTATCTATATTCAGAACATGTCTATATTCTAGTCTCTAGTCTAGTGTCCATATTCAGAACCTGACCCGCTTTTCCAGGGCGCAGGGCGACTCTACTTACGGTCGAAGTCGACGTCGAGGGGCGTGGAGTTCTGCGGCGCGTAGCCCGGGCGCGCGGAGATCTGCTGGCGCTGCTCCTCGCTGTCGAAGGCGAAGGCGAAGCTGCCCCACGTGTACTGCAGCGTCATGCGTTGGAGGGCGCTGGCGGAGCCTAGCAGCGCCCGCAGCGCCACCGCGCACAGCGCCGGCCGCACAGCGCACGTCCACTGCTATGGGCAATAGTCCTTCAAGAACAGTCAATGCTCTAATGCTGCGCCCACAGCGCCACCGCGCACAGCGCTGGCCGCACAGCGCACGTCCACTGCTATGGGCAATAGTGCTTCAAGAACAGTCAATGCTCTAATGCTGCGCCCACAGCGCCACCGCGCACAGCGCCGGCCGCAGCCCCTGCCGCACAGCGCACGTTCACAGCTACGGGCATTAGTCACTCAATGCTCTGTCCTACGCAGGGCAACTGCTGTGCGCTTCAGTCCCTCTGGTACAGTAATTGTTCTATCCCACGCACTTCAACTTCTATGGTCATTAGTCTCTCTAGAATAGTTTATTCTCTATCCTACGCACGGAAACTGCTATGAGCATTAGTCCCTCTGGAACAGTTAATCATCTATTCTACGCCCGTCAACAGCTATAGATATTAGTCCTCTAGAACAGGTAATGATCTATCCTACGCACAGCAACTGCTATGGCCATTAGTCCCTCTAATTTAGTTAATTATCTATCCTACGCATGTCAACTGTTATGTGCTTTAGTCCTTTTATTACAGTGAATCCTCTATCCTAAGCACGGCAAATGATACACGCTTATTCACTCAAGTACCTAGAATGCTCTCTCCTGCACACGCCCCCTGTCACACAGCGCACATCACATCCACTGCACGACTACTGCTATGGTCATTACGACCTCAAGGACAGTGAATGCCCTATTCCGTGCACGCTCCGTGCCTTACAACGCACATCGCATTCATTGCACAACTGCTATGGTATCACTGCTATGATCAGCACTCATCGTTATGTGCTTTCCAGAATTAAAATTTTAGTTCCAGATTGAAGGAGCCAAGACATCAGCCAGCTCGATTGGGGAATACCAATTCTGGGGAAAATCCGGCTTATGGGTTAGCTGCTAGCGTTGGTCATAGACAGACCAACAGACGGACGGACAAACGTTTTGCCGTCAATTTTTCTGTATGAAGGACCATAAAACATAGATTATGATTTCCCAAAGTGTTAGAGGAAGTAATGTTCTATAGGTAGTGACAAGTTTTATCTTCGTTTTCGTAAGCAACGCCCAGCAATAAGAGTTTTTTATCTAAACTTCGCTGTTATCCTGTAGTTTTACTATACTTTCTCTACATTGCGTAAGCTGTAGGGAGAAAGTAAAAATCAGCTGTTTAAAAACAGTCATAAACGATGTTTTGAAACAAAATTAGATGTGCGACTTTTCGGCTAGAATTTAAAGCAATAGATATAAAAAAAGCTTTTTCAAATACCGCTCAATTGTTTTTCAAGTTTTTATCCATTAATAAAACAAGGAACTCTTAAAAGATTAGCGCATCTCTCATTTTCATTGAACTACCTGAATTATCGAAAAATGCAAATTTTTAAAATATTCAAGAAAGTATGTAATGTTTTAGCACGACTAATATTTTCATAAGTTTGTGGTGCAAGAATTTTAAATTATGTTCTGAAAAGATGTCTCAAAATAATGTAAACTTTCTTGAACTAGCTGCGACGGCAGATATTACTAGTACCTTGTAATACATTTCTCTCGAGATTTTAAGCATTTTGTATACAGACATTGTTACGAGTGATTTATTAACGAATGGTTATTGAAAATAATTTAATCACAAGTCGTTAATGAATGGCTCGGGAATATCGATCTAAGTACAAAATACGAATATCCCGGTTAATCTCCACTTATTAGAAAATCTGTAGGAAAAGAAGTCGTTCAGATGATTTATTATATTCCAATAGCTACCTATTCAGGAATTAACTATCCCCAATCAACTATCAACATTGAGTTCCAAACTACTACCTATATGGGAATCATATTTATTTTATTTATTTTATGAATAATATTTACACCATCAATGGTTAATACCGTAATTACCTTTCTTAATCCATTTCTTGCTTGTCTTCTTCCGAAATGGCCATTTTCTTCAATTCGACAGGACATTCTCCTCTCTTGTAATAAATAACTCCAACGCACTCGTCCAATCTAATTTCAGACTATTACACGTGGTTCACTTTTCATTCTGGCAATTATAAAAAATTACCTTCTTCAATGACCTACAAGAATCTGCAAGCTCCCATTACAAAAATTGAAAAGCTGGATAATGCACCTGTGACACGGCACGGATTGGATTCACTTCACTAAAAGGAATATTTTAACTCTTTTTCAAAAACAAAAAAACAAACAAAAAAGCCTCGATCTGCTTTCTTTATGAAATTCAACAAAAAGAACGGTATTGAATTTATATAATTCAAATATAATTCTAACAATATGAGCAATTTCGATGGTTTTTTAAAATTCTGTTTTCAATTCACAGGCATTATAGAAGCAAGAAATATTTAAACTTCACAAGAACATCAAGTGTCCATATGAACAAATGACGTTTCTGTGAAGAGTATGTTGAAAAAATCAACCTGACTATAATGTGTGATTAAAATAAAAAGTACCTACCTAATGAAGAGCAAAGTTCTTATCAATGAAAAATTAAGATGAAAAATGTTTAAAGATAGCTTTAAAAATATTTTTACTCAAAATTATCTCATCTATGATGTTTAGAAAAAACATGTCCTGATTACAGAATCTGTAAATAAATCTGAAAACTGAACAGAAATTAAAAGTTTTGCAGAACTGTCAGAGACTCACCAAATTCGGTACCTCATAAGGTACTGAATTTGATGTATTGAAATGGAAGAGCGTCTAAGTAAATTTAATTGAGAGTGACTTCAACACTATAAACATCTAATTTTTTGTATTACACCTACCCACATTTCTACACTAGCTGTAAATGCCAAGACAAACTCACCAGAAAACGCAATGAAGTGCGACTTACGCGAAGGTAACGCCTTTTATAATGACTCGTGTTACTAAACTGCCCCAGATAAGATGTGTGTCCCTCCAATCGTACGAGCCTGTCACTTTTTTCGAGTGCATTAGCACATACTGAGTTCGCAGGTTATTTAACAGTAATTTCCTGTTCCTGTTTTCTATCAGTGATATCTCACCTTTTCTTTAAACATTTTTATTACTATTTTGAATGTGATACATGGTTCAGTTAACATACAACTTTTTCATATGTCATAATGCTTACTATTCATTTAAAAAACTAAACTATTATTTCTTTACAATTATTTTGTAGGGAGAGAAGGTCCACTGAGCACTTCACAAAGAATCATCTAAATTTGCAAATTGTTTAAAAAACATGTTTAGGAAATCTATTTTTTATTCTGATGGCATTTATGGGTGCTTTGCCTAGGTTGTATTGGGATAGTTGTGTTATTAATGTCATATAATAGTAAAAAGTATGGGATAACTTAGTGACGTGATGTATGATAGGTTTTATTTGAGTTTCTTTATGAAGTTGTTTGTTTGTAATGAACCTGGGTGCATTGGTTATTGTTCGCAGAAATTTCTTTTCTATGACCTGTATTTTATGGATATTGGTTTCGACTGCATATATCCAGACAGGACAAGTGTAGATCATTAAGGGTCTTGTTATAGCTGTATATTTGAGTTTGGCATTTTCTATAGTTATTTTAGTGTGGTTATTTAATAATGGTTTTAATTGAATTAGCTTCACTTTTGTTTGTTGTGTTTTAATGTTTATCTATTCTTTCCAATTAAGCTTAGTGTCTAAATGCAGTCCTAGATTTTTTCACTGTTTTGTTTAGTGAACCAAAAAATTGTGTTATTATTCAGTGTAAGGGGTGGTGGTGTTGACATTGTTTTTAATGAAAATATGTTTGCTGTTGACTTAGCTGGGTTTAATTTAATTTTCCATTTGGTTGACCAAGAATCTATTTGGTTTAAAAGTTGTTGTATTGTGTTTCTTAATGTGATAAGTGATGTGCTAAAGCAATACAATGCGGTATCATCTGCAAATTGTGCTGTATTTATTGTATTTGATGTAGGGATATCAGCTGTGTGAAGATTGAACAATATAGGTGAAGGTAGGGAGTCTTGAGGAAGTCCAGCCAATATTGGTTTGGGGTTGAGATAGGTTTATCTATTGAAACTGAAAACGTTCTATTGCTTATGAAGCTATTGATGTTGGGCGTGCCAATGATTCTAAGTTGTGTACTTGAGACCTTGATGTCATACTCTCTCATATGCATGTGAAATGTCTAGAAAGGTTGATATAGTATATAGTTTTTTTTTGGAATGCTCTATGGATATGTTCTGTGTTCCTTAATAATTGGTGTGAGGTTGATAACTGTTTTGTGAATCCAAATTAATGCGTGGGAATGATGTCATTTTTGCTGAAGTAATTATTGAGTCTTTTATGAAAAATTTTCTCCAGAGTTTTAGATAAGGATAGTAACATGGTTATTGGTCTATAATTTTCTATAATGGATGGATTTCTGTTTGGTTTTGGTATAGGTATCTCTATAGAGTGTTTCCATAAGAGTGGAAAATAACTTGTTCTTAATGAAGAGTTTTAAATGTTATTTAAGAATGCTATGGCTTGGTTTGGCAGATTTTTTAGGGTTCTGTTATTTATTGTCATGACCTGGAGTCATTTTTTAGGATTTTTTAATTGTGTTTGTTATTTCTTAGGGGGATGTGAATACAATTCTGGAAGGTACATTATAATTAGGAGATTTTGCTGTATGTGTGATCGTTTAGTGTTGTGAGTGTGGGGGTGAAGAATTGGGTGTATATGTATCTGCAAAATGTTTTGCTAGTGCTTCAGCTTTTTCAAAGGGAGAGAATTTTCCCCTGTGCTGGTATTAAGTGGTGGAATATTATTTCTTTTGTTTAGTGTTTTATTTTTAAATTGCCACAGTGTATTATTACTTGAGTATAAAGTTTCAATCATGGTATTGTATTGCTGTTGTTGTTTGTGTGTGAAAAGTGTTTTTTTGGTAATATATGTTAATAGGTTCAGTTCCTTTTTAACTTCAGGGCTTCTAGTGTGATTACATAATCTTCTTGTATTATTTTTTATGTGGATTAAATTTCTTATGCTTTTGGGTAGTTCTTTTTTTAAATTCTGTTTGTTATTAGGTGATTTGTTTAATTTAATGATCTGTAGTTCACTTAAGATTACGTTATTGAGTGTTGTTAATGTTTGATTTATTTCTGAAGGGGTATTTAAGATTTTGAATGTAAGGATGGTTGTTTTAACATTATTTTTAAATTTTTGCCAATTAATAATTTGTGTGTTGAATTGTGGAATGGGGGGGGAGTGGGGGGAGTGAGTGTTGTGTTGTAATTGTTACTAGTAGGTGGTCTGAGTCCATTTCATGGCGTACTGTGGAGAAAAACGTTTGTTTTAAATTTGTGATACCTATGTCTAACAGGACTGGGTTCCTAGAGTGATCAAATGCGAAGTATGTTGGTTCATTGGTGGTTATGATATTTTGTTTGTTGCTATTTATTAGTTGTAATAATTGTGTCCCAGCTGGATTATTGTTTTTACATCCCCACTGTACATGTTTTGCATTAAGATCACCCAGGATTATTGTTGGGGTGTGTTGATCAATTGGTATGTTGGATTCTCACATTGTGAGTCTTATATGGTACAATAAGTGTTGTTTCCAGATTGTTGTTATTAATAAACTTAATTGCTGCTGTTTCACTTCCAGGTGTTGTTGGTAATATTATCTTGTAACATGATATTGTGCTCTTAAAAGTATCATGACCCCTCCTCCATTAGTATTTGGTCTATCTGTCCTGATTGCTTTGTAATCTGGTATGCTGAATTTTTGTACTATTGTTTGTGTTTCTGTTATTCAAGCAAAATCTATTTTCTTATCTTGGGTGAAATATTCCAGTTCTTTGGATATCTCACCTAAAGGTCAAGAATGCTTATTCATTTCCTTAGGTCACCGACAACTGGCGATAATACAACACAGACTTGGGCGACCACTGCGCTACCTCGTGTGCAGAATCTGTTCGATTCGCGTTAATTCCGAAGGTGAAAATGAGTGTAGGGCGGTGTTTATCACGCCATTGATTATTTCTCCTTCATCTTCATCTAAAACACCGGCTTAGATGGCTCAGGGAATCAGCTGATGACACTAAAGTGCGTCTGACCGTGAGGTTTGGGGTTCTAGTAGCGACAGTAGCACGATTTCCAGCCAGTCTGGAGGAGAATTCTAGCGGCTTGTTGCCCTGATCGGTAGTCCTATGGAGTTTCTCTGATCAACACTTGGCACAGTGTCCTCAACAACGGGGCGAGGAACGCATGCGATCTATCCTTCCTCTTTCTTGTCCTATCCTCACCCCTTACTTCCACCCAATTATACTTACATGCACTACACTATCGAGCATATCGGGAGATTGGTCGGGAGCTAAGAGTTGGTCTCGGCGGAAACGAACTCTGCTGGTAGATGTCAACTGGGGAAAGCCTCGCAAGCTGATAAGTAGATCGGCGTTGCATTTTACTACTTTACCAGCGGGGGAAGTTCACTACCACCACCCATACCTAAAATTAAAAATGCACAACACTTATGGGATTAATGACCATAGCAGTTGACTCGCCCAGAAACACGAAATAATCAATGAACGCTATCGTACGCCATGGCGACCTGGGTGCATAGAAGCCTTTAGTGATATTTTTAATAACTTATCGAATTGCGAAAATCACATTTATTCCAGACGTCTCATATGTGTAATCTATATATATACACTAATCTAAAAATAGACAAGGGGTTGAGTTATAGCGGGATAGTCCACCTCGCTCTGCGAGTCCAGAATTTATAGACAATTTCCAAAGTACTTGTAGTATTACCTATAATAAATGCCCTGGAAACGCGGGATACTACCGCTTGTAATTTAAATAATTTAAAAAAAGAAAGTCTGCAGACGTGTTAGAGTCTTTTTCCTCTCTGAAACTTTTGTTTAATTTAAGGAAAATTATTATCTTCAATTGAAATCGGGGAGTTTATTGAAAACTACTGAGCCTATTTTTTTCATTACGCTTTTTACAGTATTTCTAACTACGTAAAAATCCAGATTAAGATATTGTTTAGTAAATAAACTTTCTTTAAAATTCGAAATATCGCAGTTATGGTATCCCACTGCAAAAGAATACTTGAATGAAGTAGGTATGAATTTAATTTTAAAAAGAAAATATTATTTGATTTGATGATTGGATTGATTTGAAAATGCATCTGAAAATGGGTAATTTCTGACGATATACTCATGACGTTATGAATTACTTGTTTAATTTTGGATTGAAATGTAAATGAAGTATTAATGAATAATCATCAATTAAATATGTTTACAAACAGTGTATTTTTATTTGTTAAATAAACTTAATATTTATTTATAATGCAAAAAGGAACTCATATGTTTCTGTAAATGACATTAAAATTGTTGGGATGTTAAAATTTCCTTTTATCTGATCTCGATATTGAAGAATAAAGGATTTTTTAACTCTTTTATTCTTCTGACTCTTTTTTCTGAGATTTAGTTTCATTGTTATCACAGATAATCTCATATCCATTCCAAGTGACTACGACTTTTTTAGTGGAGCACTTTAAGGAAAGAAAAAAGCGAAATCATTTGAAACTATATTTATTAGTCAACAGAAGAGTAGAAACGTGAAACATGTCATATTTGTCTTAAATGTCTTTGAGCGTTGTAGTCTTTATCACTACGGCTAAGAGGTCAGGTATCACAATTGCATAGTCGTGGAAATAAGTTGGTCGACGACATTCAACGAATGTCTCACTAACAATCCAACTTTCTTCTACAAAAAGTTAGTCATTTCAGTCAACGGGTACAAATAATATTTTCAACAATATTTTAATGTATTCTCTTAATTTTTAAGTCTCGATTTGTCTACATGTCGCGAGTTGAGGGGAGAGGGAGGACCCCACAAACTCGTGCAGGAAGAAAACAGAATATATTTTAAATATGTTTATTCACTTACCCGCGTTTGTAGACCCTCCGACCTGGGAGGGGTGGCGTGGCGACAGCTGGCTCCGGCAGATTGACGTGTATAAGAGAGGGGCGAGGTGCGAAGCCCTCGCCATTTATAGCCTCGGAACGCTGGGGTCGGCAGTGAATTGGGTCACTTGCCGACGGCAGCGTGTCGCGAGGGCCGGAAAGCCATATCGCGACAACATTCAACAAACTTAATCGATACAGCCTATTATCAGTGCAAAGTGAATGTCACCTTTTGAGAATTGTAAAACTACTTAGACTAATTCAATAAATAACAAATAAATAAATAAATTACGCACATTCAACTAAATCACAAAATAAAATCTTACAGAATTTTGCAATAAATTACGAGACGCATTGTCAAGAGGGAGGGCAATATGTACAAATGTTTTTGGCTAGAGCGGGGAATGGGATTCGGGGGGGGGGGGATGAGGGGCGGCGTAACATTTTGACGGCGAACGACCACACGGCGTGCAGCGGGAGGCGGGAAAGTGGGAGGGAGCTAGCGGAGAGCTAGCGGGAGAGTAGCCCAGGTAACTAGGAGCTCTAACAGAGAGCAGCTGGCGAGCCACCACGAGCATAGCTAGTCAATGCTGATCTGTGCGAAAAAGCAGCAATAGTAGTAGTACTGCTGGAGAGGTGTCGTAGAGTTTTCGATGATCTGTCGAAGAATCTGGAGAGCTGCCAGAGAGCTGAGGGATCTCTTTCGTAGATCTTCCGGAGAGCAGTCGGAGAGGCACCACAAGGAGACCTGTGGGGAGTAGCAGGAGAGCTGTCGTGCGGTCGGAGAGCAGCGCGTTGTAAGCAGAAGAGCCGGCAAAAGCGTAGCCGGGCGAACAGCACAAAGCGAGCTGCTCGATGTCGTCGTAAGAGCAGTAGGAAACCCAGCGTGATCGAGCTGGAATGTCGGGCGGCAGCAGCAGGAGAGCAAACGGCGCGATTTCGTGGAGCGCAACCGCTCGCGTGGCCCGTGAGCCTCCATCTCGCGTGCGTGGAGCGTGTCAGCGGAGCAAGGAGAGCGTGAGCGTGCGTGCAGGCAACGCTTCGGAGAGCGTCACGGCACCGCTGTGCACGGCGCCGCTTCCTCCTCCTCCTCCTCCTTCTCGTCCTCTTTCTTCTTCTTCTTCTTCTTGTTCTTCTTCTTCTTCTTCTTCTTCTTCTTCTTCGCCTCCTCGTCCGTCCTCGCCTCCCTGCTCACGCCTGGCGTGCCTCACTGCTGCGGGTACGGGTAAACGGGCTGCACGTCCTGCTCCGCATCCTGCGTCGGGTCGTTCACTTCGTACGCGTACTCCTGCTGCTGCTGTTGCTGTTCCTGCTCCCGCAGCTGCTGCTTGTGGATCTCCTCGAGCTGTTCCTGGTGCTGCAGGATCTCCTGCGTGGACGGGTAGTGGTAGAGCGCCACCTGCGGGCGTTGCTGCTGCTGCTGCTGCTGCAGGGCGTTGAGGCGTGCGCGCGGGTAGGGCGCGTGCCAGTGCGCGTGGGCGTGGTCGGGCGCGTGCGCCGAGTAGGCCAGCGCGTGCGCGTTTTGGGGCTGGAGAGGGTCCAGGCTGCGCTTGTAGTGGCCGCCGCCGCCGCCGCTGCCGCTGCCGCCGAAGTCGTGGCCGCCGAAGTCGTGGCCCGTGGAGAAGGTCTGCGTATGCGACACGTGCGGATGCTTCACGATTTCGTACGTCACCTGCGGACAACGACAGAGCCCTTGTGGAACACCAGCACGGCCGCACTTCAATTTAGCCATGCAACTTGAATAGTGTCTAAGGATCAATAAATTGTATTCTACAAAGAAAAGCTGACAAATAAATAACAATAATTGTAGAGATGCTAATGTTTTTCGGCTGACAAACACTGACGAATGCGGCTGACAACGACTGATAGTGGAAAACTAGCACAACTGCAGATAATTTCACTGACGTAATATTCACTTCGAGTAGATACCAAGAAAACTGTGTATAATTTAAAGGAAATCTAATACACCAACAGCTATTGACACTCGAGCAGTATATATAGCTACATACTACTCCAGCAACAATCTACACGCTCGTCATACAAAAACTATCATACAATTCGTTTTATTCATAAAATAACTAACACTTGGAACATATTGATATCATAGTTGTTCTCCTGATAACGAAAACGAAAGGCTAGTAACTTTGGTCACTTCCGGTGCCTATGAACACCGTGTGAATTCACGTTTAATACTACGACAGTCGCAATCGCCCTCGCGACTTTGCTATAAAAAACAACCTTTGCATATGTACAATGCATTTCATAAAAAGGTTGTTAGTGAAATAACCGCATCAAAAACAACGGATGCTTCTATCGAATAAAAACTGTTAACAAAGATGCAAACTATTTTTTACCCTTCAAAGACAAAACAAGCAAGTTGAATGCATTTTTAACATAATAACATAATCATCAAACATTAAAGAATATTTCACAAATCCCCTAACGGCAATGAATATTTAATCTGTCATTTCTATCCGCAGGGGTATATGTCCATTGGCGTCTCATTTCGATAGTCGTAAGAAATGAAAACGCGTAAGTTATTATACCTATGAATTATATTTTCTGATTGATTAGAAAGAGTTTGTGACAAAGTTTTATTTCTCCTTTTAAAAAATGGCATTAAGCAACCTGTTTCTACAACGGCTCCGGTTCCGGGAATAAATTCATTTTTTGTCATCCACTGTCGTCAGAGTTGAGGTAATGTTTGTTAATATCACCCCAGTGTGATATTCTTTAATACTGAAAAATGTCGATTGCAAGACATGAAATCAGCCACCGAAAACTTGAATTCAACATTGTTTCCTCTTCGATGAAACTTCGGAAATATTTTCATTGGATCGTGAAAATGCCTTTTGCCAAATGACACTCAGAAACTGATTAATTCTTTCTCTGAAATAATATTTTCTTTATGAGTGCATCTAATTGTTTTCTCAAGATTGCACTGATTTCAATATTTATATTATTGCGCAATGAAAATGAGGTGCGTTGAATCTCTATAATATTTTTAAAGATTTCTGAATTCAATCTAATTTTATAAAGGAGCAATTCGCAAAAAATGTATGTCACTACATACCATTTCACTGTTTCCCAGTGAGGTTTGCTACTTTTGTTAGGTTAAGTAGAGAGGAACATACTAAAGTTACGTACCTTACTTTGAAAGAATCAAGAAATAAAATTATTGACCTCTGACAAATTAATGTACGAAGATGATTAGTTTGTAAAATTGAGTCAATCTGCTTTGAAACCACCGTTATTCATTTTGAATGTAGGTATACCATTACATTTTTTACCACTTAAATAGGAGTAATTTCATTACTTTCCAATGCAATGAAGCATGAAACCTGCTACATTGCAACATTCCTTCCTTTTTTATAAAATATTACTATCGAATTGAAAACTATTCTGAACATTAATATGCATTATAAAATTTTAAAGCGTCAAAATATAATGAAAACTATTGATATCTTGAGGACATTCCGAAATGTTAGATGTCCTTCGATAGCTTTTCTAACTTGAGATAAGCCATAGTGGTCCACAAAATATATCAATCAGTGCATTTTCCAATGTCGCGTTACGAAACCAGCGAGTAAGACTGTGAACATATCTAGCAGGAGATCATCTTGCATTCTGTAACAAATTTCACATTAAAACACACATGCTACTTGCTGCTATCCAAAGTTCCTAGGGAGAACTCAAACAGTTTACTATCTGCAATAGTTTTTCCTCTTTGAAGTTCTAAATTAGAATAAAGTAGCTGAAATAATTAAAATACTATCTTAATTTAAAATTTCAGTTAGCTGATAGTGACGATTATCTTTTCTGTATATAATGAATGGGAATGAAAATGAGCAGAGATAGCATTATCTGGCTGGTAATTACTCAAATTTCTTGATTGTAAAAATTATTACTACATTGCCATGAATACCTACTCATACATTATTTTGAAAGAAGTAGTTTGCAATGTGATTTTATCTCCTATGTTCACAAACAACAGCAAACTAATTGGAAAATATTTTGTACCTTAGACACAATCAAAGCTATAACTTGACAAGGTACTTAAAATACATTTGTACATTAGTGCAAAATGGTGTAATTAAAAAGCACTTAAGAGGAAAATGGTGAGATAGAAAAACAAGAATGGCAGAGACAAAATTATCTGCCGGGAAATATTGAAAGAATTCGGACCTTTAATTGGATCATAACCTTTAAGCTGAGTAAGAAATAATCGCGGGTATAACTTTGACATTGTAAGCGATGCGAACGTTCACGAACGAAATTTTTTGTTATTTGAGCGAAGTTTACGGGACAATGAATTTAGAAACATTTAAAAAATGCCCTGTACTTTTTCAGTCTACGAAAAAAATTCTAGTTAAAAAAGAAATTTTGAACTGAATTCAACATTCAAAACACTGGTTATTCCCAACTTTTCTGCTGTTACTACCTGATTGATTTTGGAAACAAACTCTCTACGACGATTAGGTTTGCCACTGTGTAACGGTCTCTCTGTTGAAAAAGAGGGTCATTAATAGCATTTACATTAATCATCGCGTATTTCAGCATGTTCATAAAGAACTGTTTACTCAAATCATTTACGCAAGAAAAGTGCAAAATCTGTAACACGACCCGAAAAACCACGACATTAAACAATTTTTCTCGAATTAATGTTTTTTCAATATAGAAAATGTAAAATTGATATTTTAGATGCAGTAAACAGAAGCAACATATGTACATGTAAAAAGTAATACATACTATTGCAATACAGTGAAACCTCGAAATAAATTTATAATAATAAATATTAAACATCAACAGAGTCGAAATTGAAAACTAAAACAAATTCTTTTTCAATTATCTTCTCTACAAAATGTCTAAGAAGATGTCTAAATGTAATTATCAATTTATTCATTTATAGAGATTTCACTGTAAATAACATATGCACATCAATGCAAGTTAAGCACGCCATTTCATTGCATCACGAAGAGTGCTTGCTAAAAGCAGAAAGGTGAAGCATTTTTCTAGCCTCTCAATAAATAGGTAAGTAGCAGTGCTTAATATTTGTCCGTAATTCAGCCGTGTTATGAACAGTGATATTCCATATCGCAAATACTAAAATCTTTCATTAATTATTTTCATTTTATTAAATTGACGCAGCTAGTACCGATGCGACCTCTGGGAATTTAAGAAATAACTTAAATAAAAATCACCAGAGAAGTATGTTCGGCACCAACTGGGAAAGTCCCATCCATGAGAAATTAAGTATTAAGCTAATTGTTACGAGATATTGATTCAGGAACTGATTTTAACTTTCGTTGAAATGAAAAAAAAATACTTCTATTATGTTTAGTTTGATATTTAAGTATTATCATCTGGCATTCAACTTCTTTGTGACAAATAAATGCCTATTAGATAATTTACTTGTACGATAGGATTTAAAGAAGTTCAATAGTTCTAAACAAACACTAATGCAAAAGGGTCAGCCATAAAATACTTGCTCAAAATCATATTTAACCAAATTATCCAACACAATTTTTCTAAACTGTAATGAATTCTAATACTCATTTTATATTAGTTTCTTTTGCACACATGATTTTTCTAACCTCTTTTAAAAAGAATTTAACTCTTTCTGAAAAATTAAACACTAACAAATAGCAACTCATCCAAGAACTAAAGAACTGAGTAAGACTTTATCAACCTCGTAATTCATCTCTTTTTTTCGGGTCAAAATGAATGGTCGGGTGCGCCTACGGAAATGGTGCCAGTATTGAGGCGGACATTCTGAGACGTTCGTAAGGTATCATTTACTTTCTGATGAAGACCACGGAATGCGAGCTAAATTCTCGGCATCATTTCTTTAATCTTGATATCGCCGAACGCTCATCTAAAGTGAACTCTACTTGTCGATACCATGTTACATGAAAAGGGTGAATCTCCTACCAGTGTAACAGATAAACAAAATCTCATTGACCACGTTGCACCCTCAGTGAGGGTACGTTTTCTAAGAGTTCAGAGAGATTGTTGATTACGGTAAAAATATAACACTGCATGACGGAGAGGTTGGGAAGAATTTTTTAAAATGACAACATTTATTTACTCGTATAGCCAATGCACAATGTGACACATCTAAAAAATCATTTGTTTTCAAAGGGGACAAATTTGTTTAAAATATCCTTTTTCACATAAAACAACTTCACAAATTCATTTTTTTAAAAGATCCACGAAATGTAGAATAAAAACTTTGCCCTTGGACCAAACTGAAAAATAATTTGTTTAGATGTGTCTTTTTTTAAGACGTTTTAATGTCAACTTGAGAAGAAAGAGTTTTCGTTTTTTGAGATTCGGTTAAAATTCAATTTTAAGGTTAAAGTATTATGGCCAAATCAAAAAATCAAGATAAATCTACATTTAGAGTAATTTGAAAAATGTATACGTCAATTTTACAACGAAGATTACAATGAAAAGTTATCCCAGTTTTTTAAAATTTTCTCTCACTAGAAATAATGTATCGTGTTCTGCATTTTAGGTAGGTTTGCTAGTATTTCGATCAGCAACTAATACCTTCAGAATAACCGACAGAACATTTATCTCTGAATACGGCCACTATGACGACCGAAACGTCGGCAACCATGACACTTCGTTGCCCAGGACAGATAAATTTCTACCGACTTCGGTCTCTATGGCCTAATGTTCTTATTTACAGCTCTGTCGTGTCCTCTGCAAACACCTATTTTCTCATTAGTGTCCTCAATTTCAGATGCGAAGAATAAACTACCTAATAACAAAACCCATGTTACTCTAAAAATAACTAGTATCGAGTTTAATTTGAGTGACACGTACAGTCAGATAAGGTATTCCCAATCCATCACTTGTCTGCACGATAGAACTGTGCTACTCTAAATATCTGACCGCTAAGAAGTGAAGCGTCAAGTATACCTCGAAAATTGTATTTTTTAGTAACTTCAAGTTTGTTTTGTTATCTAATCTTGCATGTGAACCATTTACACCTGCAACCACCGCTGATAAAATGGTTTTTCAAAATGATATGACAATTTTTTTGCAAGCCCCTTTTCTGAGAATATTTCAAGGCTAACGAGGTACAAACTCGCCCTTCATACACGAACATCATCGAATCTTTGGATCTTGGATAAAATAGTAGTCTGTAAAGCAATCCAACAAAAACTCTCTCTCAACTCAAGAACACCCTCGATTCTTTGTATCTTCAATAAAATAGTAGTCTGCTTGTAAGCTAATCCGACAAAAACTCGCCCTCTACTCAAGAACACCCTCGAGCCTTTGTGTCTTAGATGAAACAGTGGTCTGTATGTAGGCTAACTAGGCGAAAGAATTCCCCCTTTCAAGAACACCCTCCGTTCTTTGTATCTTGGATACAGTAGGTATTTTCCATCCCGTAGCATTTTATGGCGGACGCCAGGCGCGTTCCATGGACGGGACCTCGTCGGCAGCGCGGGGCTGGGCGCAGTCCTTCGTACTACGGACTAGTAGCATGCGATGTGGAAAGTGAAAGTCTGCCCTGTGTACCTTGCGTCCTTGCCACCAGGAACCGTCAGTGTGAGGTGGAAGGCTAGTATACCTTCTCCTCGCCGTGGCCGCCGTGCGACAGCTTCTTGAGGGCCACGACGGCCGAGAGCACCAGCGCGATCTTGGCCACCATGAGCGCCTTGCCGGCCATCAGCGCCACGCCCTTCCACGCCATCGCCATGAGGCCGCCCTTCATCATCAGGCCCAGCAGCAGCGCGCCGCCGTACTTCTTGAAGCCCTTCTTCTTGCGACCTGCAACACGCCGCCGCCACCATGCAACACGTTGCGAACGCCAGCGCACACATTCATACACACACACACACGCTTTCGCGCGCAGAAGTATTAAGAAGGTGCATAAAATATATCGATATTTTTTTGCCAATATAATGTAAATTGGTGAGGTATTATATCCTTTTTTGCACAGGATGAAACACCTTGCTGTACACTTTTTATGAACCTCCGCGAAAGAGCAACTCGAACCGTGCATGAGCAACTCGAACCGCGCATGAGCAACTCGAACCGCGCATGAGCAACTCGAACCGCGCATGCGCACCTCGAACCGCGCATGCGCACCTCGAACCGCGCATGCGCAAC